TTTGGCCCGTACCTCTTTCTTTTTTCTCCTCCTGTGCCTTTTGCCTTTTTTAAGCAGGGTGGTGGATGGATGGGTTGGCAGGGGGATGCAGCGACGTCCATTATCCACTTTAAGTTGCCCGCCCTTGCTGTGTGTGTGTGTGTGTGTGTGTGTGTGTGTGTGTGTGTGTGTGTGTGTGTGTGAGTGCCGTGGTCCCCCCTCTGCATTTGTATGTGTGTTCAGCTCGGTTGGTGTTTGTTGTTCGTTTCGCTGTTTGCTTTTGCTTGCCGCAGCCATGTCCTGCGTTTGTGTGAGTTTATGTTTGCTTCTGGTTATGCCCCACAGCTGTAACCGTGTGTGTGTGTGAGTGTGAGTGTGTGTGTGAGTGGGAATATATATATATGCGGATTCCAATCAATATCGTAGACGCAGTCGCCGCTGGTGGCCGCTTTTGCCCATTAAGCTGCATGTACACCAACTTACTGTCGTATTTTTAGAACATGCCAGTTGTTGTTCTTGTTCCTCTCGCTTTTTTTTGCCCTTCTTGTTGCTGTTGTATTACGGCATGTAGCTGCTCTTTAAGGGCAAAGTATTCCATTATCCTTGAATGGCGAATTTCCCAAGGATTTCAGCATTCAGCTTACAGCTCCTGATGCAGCTGGCATGCGCATTGTTATTGCAAACTGCTGGCGCTGCGAGGTGCTCGCCGCATTTATTTTTAGTTACCGCCTGAATAAATCCATCTCTAGCATTTCATCCGACCATCAGCCCTGCCAAGCTCCTCCTGCCACGTTTGGGCCATTGTTTGTTGCTTCACCCAGCAACGGAGGTAAATGCATAATTAAGGTGCAAAAAATCAGAGGCCGAATGCATTTGGCTTGAAATTGAATGTACACCATTCAAAGGTAAACCGTATATCTCCGGTTGTTGGTTGTAATATTTCCGGAAAAATTACTGTCGGGGGGCTATGGAATTTATAGAGGTTTGAAATCAACAATAAAATGGTATTAAATGAGTATTTTTAGTGGTTGCCGTGAATTATATATTTTCTATTTATTTTGCTGTCTTTAAAAAGGAAGAAGGAGTCCATAGTGCAATGTAAAAAAGACTTATTTATCTCTAAGTATTTTGAAAAAATTCCTTTGAATAAATAGTAGTGAAGATTTGCTGCTAACAAAAAATAATTCACAAAAACCATTGCTTGCCAATTTTATCTAATTTAATATTTTAGTTTTCAATTCTTAAGACACAAGGTGAATTGGCCTAGATATTTAAATTATAAATTAGTTTTGTATTGTTAATATAAGTATTAATACAATATCTAATAGCAAACATGTTTGTTTGCGAACTATAACATTTAAATTGAAAAATGAATTATGCGAAAGGATTTGATTTGCTCAAATATTTGTGGAATTTAAAGAAAAGCAATAAAATAGGTTACTTTGTACAAACAAGAATTTTACCTTTAAAACTCCTTGACCAGTGAATTCATGGAGATTTTAAATCGATGATATTTGCTTTCTGAATTTGGCCAGATGGAATGGCAGGTGGAGTAACTGCAGACCATTACTTCTCCTTCACTTCGAATTGCGGCAAGTACTCTCGGCACTCGGGTGATAATCGCAGACAATTCCTTCGATTCCTGTGCGCATTCAGCAAATGCCTTGGCGTCCTTCTTTCTCCCCGGTATCCTCCAACTGTTCCCATTGTTCTGCCTCCAGTCTCCCGGCTCCCAAGCACAACTTCCGTCTTTCGCATAACACATCAGCTTGACTCTTAAGTGGTTTCTAGTTAGTTTGCAATTTTCACTTGGCTAGCACATACACCACAACACACAGTCCTGCATTTCTTTTTTGTTCATCCTTCTGGATGCATGTTGGGGAGGTGTTTTTGTGTGGCGGTTTTATGAAAAGACTGTGGCACAGGAAGAGCAAGTTTTTGTCACGCATATTTACTGTTTGTATGTGATCCCCCCTTTGTTCGGTGGAAAACTTGCTGCTGCAGCTCGCTGCCAGACAATGGCCTGAACTTTTGCACCCAGATTTCTTTCTTTCACCGACACACACGTATCAGCCACTAAGGCAAACCAACGCCCACTCCCACGCCCACCTACCGACTTTTGTCTGCAGTTGATCCTTCGGCGGCAATTGTCCTCGCCTGTCAGTCGAGAGACAAAAGTCGAGTCAAAACAGTAAATGTAATTATTGAGAAACGGCACCGCTTAGTTGGAGGTGACACAACCGCCCAGCCACGACCCCAAAAAAGCCACCAGCCATCCTGTCATCCCGCCATCCCACCATCCCACCATCCCGTCACGAAAATTGCAACAGAAGCAGATCAAAGTTCGCCGGGGGCAACTGTAGGCGAAGCAGAGCATAAAATGAAAAATAAATAAGAAATAAGCTGAATGTGGAGCCAAATGCACTTTTCCCCCTCTTCTTTTTGGGCAAACGCAGCCACGCAGCCAAGTGACTTGGGGGCAAAAAATGGCAAATTAAATTTTGTTCACAAAATGCAACGAAATGGAAGCGGCGAGCGGAGAGGAAGGAAAGGAACGAAAGCAGGACGAAACGAAGGCAAAAGAAACAGGACGGAAGAAATAGGATAAGCTCTGTTCAGCCACAGAGCAAGCAAAGGAATTAAAGCTCGAGTAATTTCTAAAAACACCAAAAACCATGACACAGACAACCAGAGTCCATCGAAAGCAACCGCAATTACTGAGCCAACCGCACAAAATTCGAGCCACGAGCAGAATAACTCTCTGTTCCATTTGTTTATTTTTGCCAGCTGCCATGGAATATGCAATTAATATTTAGATTGATTTTCAATTGTAACAAGAACCCGCAAAGGACGTGCCAACAACTGAGGGGGAGGTTGGGGGGAAAGAAGTGGAAAAATGTGTGGAAAATCGAATGGGCGGGTGTCGAGTGCATTCAAGCAGCGCCGCAATAAAAATCGCTGTAATTTTGCATGGCTCTCGTATCACTGAAATGTTGGATAGAAAATGGATCAGGATCCAATAGAAGGATGGTGGAGGGAATAGGGGGTGCCTGCGGCTGGCTACGTGTGTACGCCATTTCTATCGTTATCCATTTCCGATATGTGTAATGGCTGCCAAGAGGCAGACATTGCCATTCAATAATCTTTCACTTCGCCAGCATTTGTTACAAAAAGTATTTGAAAGTAGGACATGAACACGAAGTAAACCAAGCGAAAAACGTAATCAGAAAGCCAGATTAAAAAGCTTATTCGATATATTTGTATTTCCATATTAAATTTAATTTGATTTGTGATTAAACGTGCAAATAATTTATAGGTTCAACTTGTTTTGTTAAGCTTAACAAAACGATATTTTGTAATAATCATTTACTCATATTTTTGATTTATTTGGTATAGGGAAATTAAAAATGTATATTTTTACTTTTATTTTGGTTGTCTTATCTTTGTTTATTATATCGGTTATTAAAATCTTTTTAATAGGAAATATGGTTTGTTGTCCCATATTTCACATTTTCAATTGCCAATTCTAAAGTAAAATAAATAGACTTGCCCAAGCCAATATTTCAAAATTAATCACAGTTATGAGATCAGGTTCATTTATTTTGAAAACTGCAATTTCCATTATTTCCATCCCAGGGATCCCAAAGCTCCAATCTTATTAGACAAGCGAGCTGAAATTTGAGTTGGACAACAATAGACATTTGACAATTGAGAGTTGACAAATGACCAACGGGGAAAACTTGAGCTCGGGGAGCCGGGCAGCGGGAAAACTGACGATTGATTGCATTATAGATGATGTCGTCGCTGGCCACGCCCCCTCTGGACTCTTAGCCCGGTAACTGGGTATTTATTTGTATTCAATCTGTTTGCCTGTTTGTCAGTTGGTTCTCAAATGTTTGCACGAGCAAACACAAAAGACGTAGCACTCAGTTCGTTCGGTTGAGCTCTACCTGCTACCGCCCATTCGCCCACTCGCCATTTTCATTCCCCTTTGGCAACCGCCGACAAATTGTGTCAATATTTGTTACCACTGACGAGCCAAGAGATTTAATTTCCTCTTATCGACTAGGGAAGACCAGGCGTGGAGTGGTGGGAAACTAAAAACAAAAGCCAGTTGTCATCAATAAGGCTCAAACAGTGTTGAGTTTCCATGTACCAGCCATCAGCCTGGTCAAATGGAATGTCCCACGTTCCCGCAAGAATGGCCAATCGACCAAACGTCACCCATTGTTAAGCTGCAACTGCACCATGGAACCACTAACCCACCCAACGATAAAAGTTGGTTAGCTCATTTGTGCGCCCACCTCCAGCAGATGGGTTTGTTGATTACCGGCTGAACAGAAGATGGTTTAGCATGGAAGTTAAAGTATTTCCAAGTTGAAGTAATCAATATCAAGCATACGCCAGGTGGTCCAGAAAGAGATTATATCCCGCTGTATCTGCCGGACAGCTAAAAGCCTTATATTACAAATTTATGCAGACCGTCTTGATTGACCGATTACAGAGTAAAGCCTATGTACCATGGTCCAAATTCAAATAAATTCTGTCTGATTTATAAAACACTAGATATACTTGAAAGAAATATGTGAAATTAATATTTTAAAATAAGTTAGTAATTACTTTATGTTATAAATTTTTGTAGGGGGATAAATTAGCTTAGCAAAATATTGCACAATATATTATTTTATGTAAAATTATAAATGCTACAGTAATGGGGGTTATCTTTTGAACAATGTACTTTAGATAGTATTTCTAATTCGAAATATTTTTGGTGCGAAGACTCCAAACAAAAGTATAATTTCGGGTCATACCTAACAAATTGTTTTTTTTACAAACCCAATAACATTTGCTAGCCATCGTCTTTCCCGCATACCATTGTACAACCCCCTAATTTCCACGCAGTTTGTATGCCGGTCGCGTATCAATTTCCAGGAAAATCCTCAGCAAATACAAATAAAACATTTTCCTTACTTGTTTCCCCCTTCCTCTTCTTTTTTTCTGGGTTGTTTTTCGTGTCGTAGCCAAGCTGGATGGCGTGAAGACGTACATGCGGATGCGACGTGTGCCGAATCATCTGCAGGTGAAGGTCATCAAATGGTTCGATTACCTGTGGCTTACGCAAAAATGCTCGGACGAGGAGCGCGCCGTGTCCTGTCTTCCTGATAAATTAAAGGTAAGTACGCGGGGCGTCGTAGTCCCCGGAACACGATTTGTCCATTACTGAATGCGAAATCTTTTCCGATTCCGAATCTGCTCCCTTTCCCCCTGTAGGCTGAAATAGCAATTAACGTCCATTTAGATACACTTAAGCGGGTGGAGATTTTCCAAAACACCGAGGCCGGTTTCCTATGCGAACTGGTCCTACGCCTGAGGCCCGTACTCTTCTCGCCCGGCGACTACATCTGCAGAAAGGGTGAGTCCCTAAGCTCGGGCCAATCGCTTCTCTATCCTCACTGGCTTTTGTTCAAATCCCCATTCAGGCGAGGTGGGCAAAGAGATGTACATTGTGAATCGAGGACGATTGCAGGTGGTGGCCGACAACGGAAAGACGGTGATGGCCTCCCTGAAGGCTGGTTCCTATTTTGGCGAGATTAGTATACTCAATATGGGCACCGCAGGTAAAGAACTTGGTAAATATCTCGTTTTAGTGCGACAGGCGGAACAATAACGATAACGTAACTACTACAACAACCTTCCAACCCTAAAGTCCAGAATAAAATAAATCCAGAAATCTATTAATCAACAGACACACTCACACACTCTAGAAAGCATACGTATCTGTGTCTATGTGTGGAATGTAATTGTCTATAATTGTGCAACCAAGTGTTAACTGGAGTCCCCCGATCCCAACGAGCAACACAAACATAAATAGTTTAGAGATTGGTCCCGCCCCCGAATCCTTCAGCACATGTAACCAAATAGCCGAGCACTCGAATCAATTTCGATAGAATTTACATTTTAATTTATTAATACCATATGAAAAATACAATTTGCGTTCACTTTTTTTGATCATTTTTTGCAAGTTTAAATTGTTAATTTTTTTCGTCATCCCTAAGAGTATGCAACGAATTTTTATTGCTCACCCTTCCCACACGGTTGAAAAATTAATGAATGTCAAATGCAATTATTGCACCTGCATGCACTCACACGGGTCTCTCGTTTTCATTGTTCTCGACATATAAAAAAACCGGTGCAATTATTGTGGTTGCCCATCGAAAAAACAATTTGGTGAACTTAATGTAGCTTTAAATTCGTATAATACATAGTTGGCCGGCCAAGTGTGAAGTCGATTCGGGGTGAAATTCGGCTCATAATTAACAGGATTGCCTTCAAGGCAACTGCATGTGCGATATCTGTTCGTTGCATACTTGAAGGCGTCATCGGAGCCGTGTGCCACCTAATTGAGTTTGCGAAAGAGCAAGAGTGGCAGGAGCAACTCAATTTGCAGACAAAAGTTAAGGAGGTGGCCCAAAAGTTTTGCACTTCCCAGACCACCCCCCCGCCCCCTCTCACATCAGCACCTTCTATTCCACCAATTAGAGACGGCAAAATCGAATTGTTTAAAGTTCTTTTGTGTTTCTGCATGATTTAAGCATTATTCTGGTTTGGTTTCATTCGTGTGCGCTCAATGGTGAGAATTGCCCAAAGGAATTTAGCACCGAAACGTAATTTCTTACGCTAGTTAGTCGCTCTCACTATCTCTGTCATTGTCTCAACTTTAATCTCTCTGTCTATCTCTCTCTATTTGTCTCTGAGTCGATGTTGTTGTTGTATTGCTTTGCCTGGACGTAATTTAAACGTTTCTCTACACGTAATTGTATTGAGAGTTGTGTAATGTGAATTAAGTATACGACCCGTCTACACAAGCTACTCTTACGTGCGATTCTTCTTGCTGACAAGTGGCTGGCTAAAAGTGCATAGCACAAATTTTTGGATATATATAGGTTTTAATAAGAACATTTTTTCCGTTGATCCCATTCAATATTTACTTCCTATTTTTTTCTATTATCCCCCACCACAAACATATTGTGTGGCATGCAATTTTAATGTCTTTGTGCGCCCAAGTCAACAAGAAGAATCGACAGACACACTGACTCGAGCACACACGCATAAACACACATACTCACTCCGGGAAATGCTTTTTTGCAAGACCATTAAACTTTTCTCTTTGCGTTGGCAAACATTTGCTTTGCCAACTTTCCCGATGCGAAACAAAAACAGGCAACCGACGCACAGCCAGCGTTCGCTCAGTGGGATACAGCGACCTCTTCGTCCTGAGCAAGAAGGACATGTGGGACGTGCTGAAGGAGTATCCGGCGGCGCGTGTTCGTCTGGAGTCGATAGCCGTCAAGCGATTGGAGAAGTACAAGAAGGCCCCGCTGGAGAAAGGTAAGGCACTTGTCTTATTTGCTCCCTCTGGGCCCCTCCCCTTTCCCTTCCCCAGAGCCATCCAACCACACGACATCCAGAAACCACCAGAGTCCCCGCCCAAACAAATACCACTCGAAATTCAAAGATACGAATACGAATACGATTGCCCCAGAATAACACGATTCGATTGTTTTCGCCTTCCGTTCCGTCTTTCCTTCCTTTTCGTTATCGATTTCATTTGCGTCCGTTTCCGTTTGTGAACGATTTTGATTTAAAACACAGTCAAATACTTTAATGTAGTTGCCATGGGCCGCTGTCAATCGACGCCGGGCCTAGTCGAGAGCTGTGGTCGCACCTCGCTCGAGGAGATGTGGCTGCCACCGGCGACAGCCACCGCATCCTCGCTGATGCACCACCACCAGGCGCTCCACCAGCAGCAGCAGCATCAGGCGGCCCAGCAGCAACACCTGCCGCATCGGCAGGAGTCGACGCAAACGTCCTCGCAAACACATGGGTACAGGTGAGTTCAGTGCCTACAGAAATGCGGTCAAAGTAATAGAATAAATAAAATAAGGTGACATGCATTGAAGTATCAAATTCTCGCTTCGATTGCCTCAGTAAAGGACATGTCAAATTGGTAACTGTTAACGTAGATAGTAAACAAGATTTAAAAACAAAAATGCATTTTTTTTTTATTAGAAAAAAAGTGGTTTCAGCTTTTGTTCAATGTCTGTTTTGGCTACCATAATGTTAGTCTTAAAAAACTTTGATTTTGGGGTAAAAGTTTATTCGTCCAAATTGTTAAGAATTGTCTATTCAGACCCTCTCTAATATAAATAGTATTCATATTTTTCGGCACCAAGGGTTCAGAACAAAATTTACATTTCTGGCAATCGAACAAAAAGCATAATAAACCCGATTAAAAATTGTTCGGAGAGAAACTGCACAAAGTTTTTTTTTTTTTTTTTTTATCATTATAAATGTTAATTGCTAGATACAAATGCATGCCAATTAAAGACCCGTGTTTGTTTCAAATTTGTTTGCACAGTTTTTCATCTGCGAAATATATAATAGTCACATTTTATTGTTTTATTTTGACCGGATTCAACTATTATTCATCCTACTAAACTTATTTAATATAACATCTCTAAAGTCCCCGCAGCTACGCCGATCGCTTGGCTCGGGCCACTGACTCCCCCAGATCGGTTAGCCCCAGTGCCCATGGATCCGAGGAACGACCCCGTAGTCGAACGACCTCGCATCACTCAATAAGACCCCAATCTCAACCCAGTCACACGGGTAAGCACGTAAACAGATAAAATATAATGGCAGGGTACTGAATAATCTTATAATCCCTGCATGTAGGTCACATATGCGATTCCAGTTCGCAGCTGGAGTGCTATGGGGCGGGAGTGGGCGGGGCTGGAGGTGGAACCACGCCCCTTCTGGGCTCGCACGAAGTTCTGGAGGATGAGATCAAGAGGCTGAGGGAACGGCTCCATACGGTGGAATCGGAGAATCAGGCCCTGAACACAAAACTATCCCAGCAGCAGTGGGACCTGGAGAATCGACTGGCCGAGATCGAGATGCAGATCTGCGGAGTGTCGTCCACGTCCAGCGTGGATCCCGAGAATGAGACGGAGGAGCTGGAACGGAACAGAGAGAGTATCATATAACACGGGAGCGTGCTGCCCCATCAGGCGATCGGTATGGTGTACATATCATGTTCCTCATGACTCCACGACCATCATTGATCATCTGACAACTGAGTGCATCCGGCGATCGGGCGATTTGGATCATTAAACCGCATCATATCGCATCTATCTCTCGCTCCCCCAATCTCCCACTCTCTATCTGTCTCGTATTTGTGTTTCTCCATCTCTCTCACTCACTGTGTTTTGTATTTGTGTGTGTATGTGTGTTATGCATGCATTCCAAATTGCCTTACTAACAAAAATAACGAAAAACAAACATAATCAGGAGCAGCAGCAGCTATACAGCAGCAGGAGGATCAGAAGGAGAAGAACCAGGAGACGGAGGATCAAGGGCGACCACTCGAAACTGAAACGGGGACCCAGACCTGTGCCAAATTCTTCTCGCTTTAGGGAACAATAAAGAGAGAGATAGAGAGGGGAGGACAGGGCGCCAGATAACCCCCAAGATGTGCAATTAATATCTCTTATGATCACGCGACACCAAAAGTAAAATATAGCCTAAAAAGGCACTGCCAACAAAATTGTCTGTACATAGAAATTGAAGAAATTCAGATCAAAATATACGCTAAACTATTGTAATTGGTTTAGTTATGCACGAGAGATCGGAAAAGCTTTAATAGATAATCCGAGAGAACTTTTTCCAGAACCCCTAACAACTTGTTAACCAACACTTACACTTTTTCCATACTAAACTCAGAAATAGATTACGATTTACATAGATATCATTAGGCCTAGACGCTCTTCGCTCCTTTTAGTGGTTACTAAACCAAACCAAAACGGGTACTCCCATTGTAAATACTTTCGCTCTAGGATCTTAATTAGCATTATGGTCAATGACATTAGTATGGATCATTCGAAATAATAACTAAAAGATTACTTTAACTCATGAGTGTAACAAATGAATCGTATATCTATTGTAATATTTGCTAATTGTAATTTGAAAAACAAAATTACTAGATGTGTATATGGGAAACGATTTACTTTACAACTGAAAATAATGCATAAACAATTTATGGAAAACTAAGTGAATATTTGCAAAATATTTGTACTATTGGAAAAGAACTGCCAGAGCATACACCACACACTCGAAAAACTATATTAATATTAATAATAATAATAAACAAAAACAAAAACTCGAAGAAAAAAAGCTAAAGACATCAAACTATTAATACAACCAATATTAATGAGTAGATATGTCAAAAAGAAAACACTTTTAATGCAATATTATATTGTAATACTGTCGTATATAGTATATCTACATTATACATGATCTACATTATACTTGATATGGTAAAAATTTAAAGGTCTAAATGTATTTAACTTTAGTTAGTTGCCCAAAAGCCAAAACCAATGCTGAACATTGTAGTTGAGAAAAAAACAAAGATTAATTTAGGCAAGAAGGTTCTGTAGCAGAACGCAGAACGCAGTTAAGGAATCCCCATAATATGGGGGCTGCGATAAAGAAGAAATAATTAATTTAGCTATAATTCTAGTTATACCTAGTTATACCATTAGATGTGTACCAGAGAAGACCAAAAAAGATCGAATCGCGATCGATTATAAAAATTGTTCAGTGTCAACTCCCAAAATATTGAAAGCCACAAACTGAGTTGATAAGGAAATCTAATAATTATATAGCTAACTCGAATAAGAAACAAAACTTTACAGAATGAGCAGGCGTTTGAGCCAGGATACGTTTGAGTATCTGCCTAGAAAACGGAAACTGGAACGAAACTCATTTCATGCTAACAATGATAGGCCAAAAAACCTAAACTCAAATTTTGTTAGGATTTTTCTTAGATTTTTGTCAACGAGGTAATCCTATTTTCTATTTTCTAGAAAACAAATAGAAGGAAATTCTTTTTTCATATTTTTCAACCTAATTACTTTTCGGAATATCATATAACGGATTAAAAATTAATTAATAATTACAATAAACATTAAATGGGGTTTCATCTAAGACAAAGCTTATACCAAACAAAAAAAGTGTTAAACAAAAGCTAACGAAAACTTGTAAAAGTTTATCGGAGTTTTTGATTCCTTAGTTAGCCAATTATTGTCAAAGTTAAAGTTGAATAATATAACTAAATTAAATTACATTTTTATGGCTTATTAGCACGCTTATCACAGGACAGAGGCTCTGTCCCTTGTTAGACTTATTCCTTTTGATTTTTTCAATGTTTCCGTTAGAGCGCGTATAGACATATATCTATTTGTTATTGAACGTAAAATACAAGGAACTACATCGATTCGGTTGTGTTGTTGTCGCCAAGTGAAGCAGAAACGGCTATCGAGTTTGAATGGCTTACATAATAATAATTTTTTAAATTATTTCATGCATTGCGATCTATGAAACAAAAAAAACAAAACAAAACAACAACATTTATAGCTTTATTTTTACTATAAATTAATTAATTAATTTATAAGAACTAAACCGTAAATTAATTCAGCATTGACTTCATAGCAAACACAGAGAACCAGCATAGTTCTCAGATCATCGGGCAAAAAAGGCATTTTTTAAACGGTCACTATAAATCAGATCAGTTCAGACAAGGCCCCGATTTGCAGCAGGTAAATCGAGCTTATCGTGCGAGAGTTTCAAAGCCGTTTACATTGCTGAACTACTCTGAAATCTGAAAAGGGTAACAAAACAAAACAAAACAAAAAAAAAAAAATGGAATTATAAAGTAAAACGACAACAAAACCAGAAAGAAAAACTGAAATACAAATAAAATCAAAACAAAACAAAAAATTCTTAATACATGAAAATCGTGCGTTTCGTTTTGCTTCGGGGGGCCAATATCCATCGACTCATCCATCCACTTAGCCAACAATCGGTCGACCGTCGATCGAATGCAACTGCATGTCGTAATCAATGGGATCTAAGGAAAAGCCGCAAAATTGTTCAATTACAAAGGCCGAAACCACACACTCATCGCAGTGCCGACGCCTGCAATTAACGAGCTGGCTGAGTAGTCGAGTCCATTAGGCCAACACTCCACTCGAGTCGGGTCTCGAGAACCAACTAACCGCTTTGCTAAGCGGAAACGTGGCACCTGAGCGAATTGGGGGCCCAAAACAAAAGCGCCAACAAAGCGGGCAAGCAAAACAAGCCGAGATCGGGCCAAAAACGATGACGTCGCTGGATTCCCATTCGAGACTTCCATTGGAAGCGCAGCATGGAGCTTTTGGCCCGATCGCTGGACTCATACCTGCTGCCAATTTCAGTCGTTGTGAGCAACTCGTGCGCGCTGGACGTGTTTGAATTTTAACGCTTTTTCTCCCCTCGAAGGCGAATCCGAAGTGTAAGCAACAAGTGCCAAAAGGGAAACAAAACAAAAACCAGGCAAACGTACTCATATATACACATATTTTTGTGATGTGCTGTGTGCTACTCCCCGACTTTTTAATAACTTCTGATGCCGTCGTCTAACGTTAACGTTAACTACATATTTTTTATGAATCTTCATGTGTCTCGCTGTTCGCCTTGTGTTTAATTTTTCGACTCTATTTTTCTGTATTACTCTTTGGTTCCGAGCGAGAAACTTGCGTGCCGAGCGTTGTTCTAATTTTGAGCTGCTGCTTAAATTAGAGGGGCTATATATGTTTATATAATTTCGTGCGGAATTTGTGCTAAACACGTGAACGGGCCTCGAGCCGTGTGAATCGGACGGAAAAAAAGGCAAAAACTTGGCCGCCAGCATAAATACCAAAAGTCGCAGTTATAAGATATTCAGATTCAGATATCTGGCCTAGCCCATTGCATAATGGGCGAATGCGAGGGGAAGCGAAAACAAAAACAAAGCTAAGACCAAGACCGAAAGCGAATCTGAATCTTAGTCTGGGCTTGCGTCTGTATCTGAATCTGGTTTTTCCGCTGGCGCTGTTCGATTGGTTTTTAAGCTGGCTTAAAACCATTTTCCCTCTTTCAATTGTAATTGCTGCGGCTTTTAGGCGAATAAACGAGGCAGAGTAATGAGCAAAAATTAAAAAACAAAAGAACACACACTGGCACACACCAAGAAGGTTTGGCTTGGCTGCGCTTTGGCGACGCCTAACGGCATTAATCAAAAGACTGAAGACACAAACTTGGCAGTGCCTCAAAAAGAGCAGGGAATATCCGCATGTGTGTGTGTATGTGTCTATGCGAGTACATCGCTTGAAGTGTTTTCTATTTATGACGAACAGCCATAAAAATGCTGCCAAAAATAAACGCTTGTTTGCCATAGAAGCGTGCGCTAATAGGCCATCATTTAACTTTGAGGCGTGGCCCTCAGCCGACGGGCAAGTGTTACAATCGCATTTGGCCAACAGGAAATAGAATATGTAATACTGCAAAGCAAGCTATTAGCCCACGTTAGTCGTTGAAGTTCATTCTCTCTGAGGAGGAAATACCAGTCAAATTGCATATGATTTCCTTCTAATAGAACTTCTTTATAGCCTGAAGCTTTAATTTTATCATATAACAAAGTTAAGGTGCTTTTGGAAAGATATACCTAAAATAGATTTATAAAAAAAAATCTTTACAAATAGGGATAACGGCATATGTATTAAGCCGACAGGAAATAGAATACGTTTATTACAAAGATTTTCTCTGTTTACGAATTGGTTTATAATACCCGCAAGCTTTATTGTGAAAATTTTGGTCATTGGTAATTTAATTTAAAACTTATAACTGCCAGAGCTAAGGCTTAAAAAATCCCCTGGGAAAAATAAATACTATACTAAGTAGAAAGCCAAATACGAGAAAAAACCAATGCAAAGCAGAAAAGTATTACTCTACGAATTTATATATTCACTCCATTCATTTTTCAAAGATCATCCAGAGAAGATCCCATCTTGTTGTAGTAAATTCCGTAACCATCCATCACCATAATTATGGGCTTCACCTCCACTCCAGTTAATCTCATATATTTCAAAGTTAATGACGTTGTCATAGAACATTTAACCAAATATATTCCCACAGCACAGATCTAAACAGAGTTGTAGCTGGGCAGCCACTACAGAATCATTGAGAAATCAATGGCCATTTGGTACTCGGTTTTGGCACAAATCAAACTTGAAATCGCACCCACGTCTAGAACGAGGCGTTGAACCACACCATGTGGGTGGCAGCCCCGATGACGACGACTACGAGATTTCGCTGGCCGTGTGGGTTGGCAAGGCAAAAAACCAATATATATTCGGACAGCAAACAAATCGAAAAGTGTAAAAAATGCCAGACACCTACGTGCACATCGCATTCTGTGATATAGATACACCAAAATACATACATACCGATATTCGCCAGTGCAAAGTCATGATATTTGGGCATTACGTAATGCCCTAAACTAGGTGTGTTACCTGGCCCTCTTCTACCAATTTAAGTCACGACAAAACTTTCGATGTTTGCCTGCTGACCAACTGAGTAAACTAGGGAGCGTATTGGCCAGTGCGTCAGACGAGACATTCCCATTCCCATTCCCAAGACCATTACCATTACCATTCCCATGACCTTGCCTCGAGCTGAATACTCAATATATAGAACGCGGTGAGAAGTGAAGTGGAGTGGGGCTCATTCCACTCCAGTGGCGAGTGCAACTAATTAGGTTCATTGCCAATGTCAAGTGTCAGCAAATGACATCAGCCGCGGGATCACTCATAAGTCGGAGGAGCAATTCATTTATTTCCACTTTTTGCTGTCCCCGCCACTTAATTTATGCGATCCGAGCAACGCAGTTTTGTCACTGAGAAAAACTAACAATAAAGGGATTTCTCATCTCTACATAAAGTTAATTGAAGTAGGTAGCAATTAATAAACAAAATTTGGTTAGTTTAGCAAGCTAAATACATACCTTTTTATTTGACTCATGAGTCAGACTTCCAAATAATTATGTCCAATAAAATAAAATTAATGAATATATTACGCTAAGTATACCCATTTGAAACCTGTTGAAAATATCAAGTATACTTGGCATTTAACGATTGCAGGCAAAAACGATTTATAAATAAATATTGTTTCCAGGAACCGTAATCATTATAAGTTTTATTTTAGAAATCGCAATATAATCATTGTTTTTGAAGTATACTAAAAGTTACTAATGTAGGAAACGAATAGATAGAGCGTTTCTCATTTTCTTGTATGTCGTTTTAAGTGATTCATTTTGTGATTCAAAAACACACACTATTTGCAGTCCCTGATTTTCTCGCTCTGTACTCTCCTGTAGAGGCGTTAAAAAATGTTCAAGCCACAACTCATCGCTGTGCTCAGCAAGTGATGAGTGATGTCATCTCAGAGTTGTTTACCTCTCCGAAAAGTGTTTGTCAATAAATAGTATTTGTATTTGGAAATCTGCATACCAACCTCGCTCAGAACTGGACATGCTATGATATATGTGCGCTGGCAACTGACTGGTTGGAAACGCAACCGGATTTCCTATAATTAAGTCGGTTAGACAGTCTTTTGACGCCTCGTTGTCTTCGCGACACGGTGTGGAATAATGCCAAAAAGGCCAACTTCAGATTTCAATTCGTTGGCCACTGTTTGTGGAGCGGACTGACAGACAGCGACAGCTAACTTTCGGTTTGCGCAAATTGTTAAGGTAAAAGTGCGACAAGTGAAAACGGGCAAACAATTGACAATTGATCGCGGCAGATTTCATTACTGTGATTACAGCCATTATTATCCTCGGCGGTGGCTCCCACGTTTACACACATGTTGGCCTTCTAGCGTGGCGTTTGTGAAAGACTTGCTCAAACATCAACATCAGCATCAACATTCACATTCACATCCACAGCCAGCACTGCCCACCAGATCTGCTTGCTTTTGCCGCGGCGAAATTCCAAACTAAGTGATTTCTGTTATTTTTCAGACTCTTTTTTTATTGTTATTTTTTTATTACTTTTTTTTTGTTATTTTTGTATTCAATTTTCCTTTTCGCCCCCTTCGTTTTGGCTTGGAAGCGACGAAACCAGTTTTGCTTTATAGCCAGATTCAGAGATATTCGCACACACACATTCGCTGGCGAAACCCCCCCGCATTTTTTTTTCCTTCTGCTCTCTGGAGCTTTGAGCTTTGGCCATGACGTCATCGTTTGTTTTGGCCCGGCCAAGAGAGCAGCCGCTCAGATCGAGCAACTGAAACAGTTCGCTTCGAGCAGCGATCGTGTGCAAACGAAACTAAAACTGAAACTGAAACCGAAACTACATATAACTAAAGCCGCGTCTGATCAATACAAATTCTGTTCTGTCCATTTTCCGATCAGTGTTTGAACGGGAGTTACACCTGTACATATGTGCGAGTCGCAAGTCGCAGGTGAAGTGCAGTGACGTGCAGTGAAGATGGACGTCAAGGACATTAAAGGCGCCAAGGTGACGCACGCGGGGCTGCTGAAACACAATTCCGATGGCAGCACCGAAACGCAAAAGATCACCCACGCCGGATTGGTGGCCCGGAGTCCCGAGGGCACCGCCGCCAAGGGGATGAACATCCGGGGCAACGAGGACCTGTGGGTGGAGATCCAGGCGAATACGTTCCGCAACTGGGTCAACGAGCATTTGCGCGAGACGGGAATGCAGGTGAGTTATACTATAGATACATAGATACATGCACACATTCCATTCCGTTCCCCTAGCACTCACAATAGGTTATGTAACACTTTCTAACCGACTGAATACCTCTCTACCTGCCGACTGAATGTCTGATCGATCAAGCGCGAAAAACAATTACCCAATCAATGGGTC